CCTCCTCCCCTCCCCCATGCCCTCGTATCCACCTCCGTCCCCCTCCATGCCCCTGTATCCACTTCGCCTCCTTTCCTCTCCATGCCCCTCTGTCCACCCTCTTCTCCCCACTAGTTGCTGGCTCCCTGTCCCTCCTCCTGGGCTCTGGGCTCGCTCAGCTCTCTGCCACCACCAGCTCAGTTCTCCCCAGCGCTGGCCTTAGGGCCCTTCCTTCTAGTCATCAGGGAGGGGGGCCCTCCAGAGAATACTTTTCTCACCCCAACCGGCCCTGGAGTGCAGCCTCAGTGCTGTGCGGCCTCCAGTCTGGGGCTTCCCCTGACCACCTCCCAGCCCAGACCGTCCCCCAGCCAGCTGGGACCCTCGCTCAGCCACCCTCACACACTCTCCAGCCTAGACCCTCCCTGGCCACCTCACCCCAGCCGGGACCCTCACTCAATCACCCTCAGCCCCATCCCCCAGCCTGAACCCTCACCCGGCCACCCCACCATCCCCCTGGCCACCGCTGCTGCATCCTGGCAGAGTGTCCCCAGCAGAACCCTGGGTGTCAATGGAAACACTGGCTGCTTCCAGAACAGTGAGTCAGTGTCCATCTTAGCCTCTGGACCTTGACGTCAGAGCACCTGTCTCACTCTCTGGCAGGCTCTGTACAACGTTAATTGACATGAAATTGTATTCAACACTCAGTTTGCTCCAACAGACCTGAATTAGGCCCCCAAAATTAACCTGTGGTTCAAACTTGCTTGGGGGTGGCAGCCTCGTTTCCAGTACCAGCCCCAAAGTGGGCCGACTGTCCCCCAGTGGTAGGCGTGCTGGGTCTTGACTCCTCGTCCATACCACCTCCTTCCCGCAGAGGTCCTGACAGCTCCGGGTGTGGCCTGCCATTGTGGCTACCATCTGTGGGGACAGCCATCCAACATGCTCCCCTAGAGAAGGAACCCTGGACAGCTCCAGCTGGGATAACAGTGCCTAACAAAATCCTGGGATGCTCGCTGACAAGCCGACGAGCCGACGAGCCGGGACACTCCCAGCCTGGGCTGTGGGCTGCAGGGGATGGACCAAGGGTCTGCTGAGGGTGGCTGGTCTACACCATGTCTGCCTGGGACACAGGCTGAGGGGGGCTGAGACATTCTCTGTCCAGGGCTCTCCCAGCCAGCCTCACCCCCACAGGCCCAGCCAAAGTCAAGGCTCAAAACCTCACAGGTGTCCGCTGCATCTGTGGCCTCCCTGAAGAGGGAAGCCCATGCCTCCTGCCTTAGTGGGGGGCCCTGCAGAGCTGCACACGGGGTGCAGATATGGGACCCTGTCACGGAGGGGCAGTAGAGCATGGGGACTCCAGTTTGTCACAACAGGCAATCTAGGTGATGCCCCAGGGGTCTATTCCTGGGAATGGACCTCAAGTCTGTTTTGAGCAGGTGATTGAACATTTTGGACTCCATCCAGAGAGTCCCTTTGGCTCACCCCTGCTTCTGTGGCCCACGGTTACCCACGGTCCCCTTGTTCATCTAGTGGGCGAGGCGCTGGGACCTTGCTGCTGCCTTGGGCTTGGCCACCCCCCAGGGCAGGGACTGGGTTCCCCTGCCATGCGCTGGTCTCCACCTGAGGTGACGTGACTTTCACTGGCTCATTGT